AGATCGTCCTGGGACGATCAGACCAAAATCAATCGGCCTGAACGGTTCCCAGAACTATTCTCAGGACGATATTTTGAACAGTACAGATCGGCCTGGACGATCTCAATATCGTCCCGGCCGATCCTGGGAGGAAAATCCAAGTCAGAGAGGAACAGTAAGGGAACGAGGTCTCACATCATCATCGAGATTTTTAGTAGTCTTCGACCTTAACTGAAGCTATCATTCAATACTATATTCCAATGGATTTTAAATTACCTACCATAAACTCTTATAATGGGTCCTTTAACCCTTACAAATATATTGGTCACTATAGAACAATCATGCATATTCAACTAGTTACTCGAGAAGCATATAATGAATTGTAATTATATTTTTTTGGAAAATTTAAGTATAGATTTTTTTTAATTTTTAATTTTGAAATTAAATACGTCATTATGAACAACATATCTCCTCAGAATGTGAAAATATCATTCTCTAATGGGTTCAAATTATAAAATTAAAATTTTTATCCTAACTATCATAGTTAAATTTAAGAAGGAATTACGTATGACCTCAAAGGATAAAAATATTGTTCGATCATATATTCATCTATGATAATCTAGACGTGTTTTCATTAGTTTCATAGTCAAAGTTGTAATAATAAATGATGTATCTTTCCATGGAAAGAAAATATCATTTACTATTAACTATTTGAGTATGAAGATAATGATCGTCTTTTAATTTTAATTTTTTCAAAATAATAATTTTCCCCCATCATATTTTGTAGTTAAGTATGATGGGGTTTATTTTATATGGGGTCTTAAATTTCTTACGAAGGAAAGCCTTCATAATTAATTGTATTATAGGAACATTAGTCTTCATATGTTATATATGTTAATATTTGCATATGCATATTGCATGTTAATATATACATGTGCATTTTGTATTCATATGGTGGAAATTCTGATATAAGAGATATTCAAGTGAACTACAAGTAATATTATAAAGACCATTGCATATCTTTATTTATGTTTTGCTCTATTCTATTTATATTTCTATTCCTCCATATGCCTTTTGCGGGTGTGAGATGATCAAGGGAATTATGAGTGGAAGTAGAATTATAAGAGAAATTGGGCTAAATCTACTCCATCTGCCTTGTGCAGATGTGGGTTGACCAAAGAAGGCATAAGTTGAAGTGAAGTTATAAGCAAACATTGGGGCAATTTCATATCATGTTTTATATATTGCATTGCCAATTTATTAAGTAATATATATTAACACTTATGTTCAAAGTTATGTTAAAAATGAAGTAAAGATGAAGTAAATGTTTATGATGTTGACAAGTAAGTTTAAGTAATGCCCATGCTGTGTTCAAGTTTATGTTTCATATGTATGTTCAAGTTCAAGTAATATACATGTCGTCCTTCCGATAAAGTTAAATATATAAGTACAAGTAAATCTATTGTTATTGTTTTATGAAGGCCAAGTCATTCTTTACTATAACTATAAATATTATCTAAATAAATTATAAAATTATTTTTTCATATAAATGAAAATGTGGACATTGATTTCCATGATAGGACTTTGGATAGCCTACTAACAAGTAGTTGCTCACTTTGTATGTTATATGTTATTCAGGAAAAGAGAAAATTTCAGCTGAGTAAAGTTAATGAGGTTGGAGTTCGTCAAGAGCTAGCTTAATAAATGTACTCTTTTGATAATTTAGCATTCATTTATGTATTTTGATATTTTACATGTATTATGAACTATTAAAAAATGATTATTTTGAAAGAAATATGAATTATAATTTTGTGTATATTTTATTTCATTATAACTTTGGATGTTTAGCGGCTTTGGTATGTCTTGTGTTTAGGATGAGATAAGTAGGATTAGATTTCAATTCTTCCATCATACATTGGAGTATTACATAGTTGTATCAGAGCAATGATTTGGAATAATTAAATCATAATCAAAGTCATAGAAAATGATATGTAGTTAAAATAAAATATGCACATTTTTCTATACATACTTATAACTCTATTTCCACTTATACCTCTCTTAGTCAGCCCACACTTGTACAAGGCAGATGGAGTAGAGTAGACCTAGCTCAATTCTCTTTATAACTTCACTTCTACTTATAACTCCGTTGATCATGTCATGTCTACACAAGACAAATGGAGAAATGAAAATATAAATAGAAACATAGCAGAGCAAAATAAAAATGGAGACATGTAAGGGCCCTTATAACATTACTTGTAGTACACTTGACCATATCCCATATTAAAATTTATGCTATATGAAGATATTAGCATATTTGACATATTTATTCAACATTTAACATGAATATAAACATGCATGAATTGTTGTATATAATATTTTAGTAGAGAATACATGTGGAATTTACATATATACTTAACATTTTCCACATGAAAGATTTTTCATTGGGAACATTTAAAATATCATTTTAAAGTATTGGGTAACCGGTAACCAATACAAAAAAATATCATATTCATCATAAAATAACCAAAATTTTGCACAGACAAAATCAATTGGTGAAAATTCACTTTCTTATTGTTAAAATGATTACAATAGAGTATTTTATAATATACTAAAAACTAAATAATGGAAAGTTTCTCATACTTCATAAAATCATTTAAAACCCAAAAATTACCTTACAAGTGTCGAACTTGAAATAAGAAATAGGATCTTGAGAGGTACCTTGAGCAAAACATTTTTCTTAACTTGCTTGATGGATGAATTCGGTTTTGCGGAATCTGAAACCTAATTTCTCTTTTTTTTGTCTTCTTCTCCTATTTCTCAGCTTCTTCCTTCTTTGATGCAACATCATCGATACATTCCCTTTCTCAGCACCGCAACGTTCTCTATAATATTGCCATCATATAGAAAGGAAAGCGCCGCATCGCCACCATGTACAACAACACAGTGCTCGCCTAACTAAACTTACCAAAGTCTTAAATAGAGCAAGTAGTGTAGTCACATACATCGCCAGTGTTCCCAAGAAGCTTTCCGCACTTAACTTTTCCACTCTTTTCTAACTTAACCCTAGACTTGTGTAGACTTTAATAAGCATTTAATAACTTGAAATTTTACAGACATTTAACATACACAAGGGCACATATGAACTTATTACCATGTTTAAATTGGGTTGATTTATTTCTAAAACAATAATTATTACATTCTCCTCTATTTACAAAAAATGTCTTCCTCGATATTTATATAAAAGCCAATACTTAGAACAACTCTGGATATAACATCCTCATTTCCTGCTTCTTTCTTTGAGGTTGCCTCTCATTCTGATTTATTCTACCATTGATTTTTTACTATAGAAATTTGTTTTTTTCTTAACTGTTTCATGTCATAGGCCACAATGAGCTTAGGTTCTTCCTTACATGTTAGATTAGGTTGTACTTCGACTTCATCTTCAGAAAGCCTATGCTCCAAATCAGAAACTCACTTCCTTACCACCTAAAAGTGCCAAAGGGCTACAATTCTTGAAATGAGGATGATTCATATACTAATTTTTACTTATTTTAAAAATTTACTAAAACAATCTATTAAAGGAGTTGCTAAATTATTAATATAAATCTTTTGGTATGTATAACATAGTTTTTTTTTAATTATTTTTTATTTTTTATTTTTTATGTATGTATGTACAACATAGTTACAATTTTGTGGGATTTATATACATATCACTTTATTTCATACTATTTACATATCTAACACTTAAAATATTAATATTACATGTCTACCACCCATAGAACAAATTTGAGTTCATGGAATGAAATATTGAAGCTTATAAGATGATATAAATGATATGAATGAATTATAAAAGTGATATATTTGATATTAAAATTTTATATGAGTGGTAGGCATGTAATATTAATGTTTTGGATGTTATATATGTAAATATCATGAAATAAAGTGATATGTAAGTAAATTTCCCTAAAATTTTATATAACCAATTTAGGTTTACAATTTATTTTTATAAAATGAGCTTCACTTCAAAATAAATTTAATGAATACAGCTGAAAACTAACTTCAGTATACAGCCAAAAACTATCAAATAAAAAATTATTAAAATTCTCGCACTAGTTTTTTGTTTTTTTTGGACATTTAGGCCATTTAAGGCAAACTCACACACACAATGCATACACATGAATTCAAACCTTGAACCTCTTAGTTGGAAGCCTAAGCTCCCAACCAATAGGCTAAGGAGAGTTGTGTTTTTTGTTTATGCTATTGATGGTTCTTAAGTCCAAGCTGAAGCCTTCATTAATGCAAAGATAACGAAATTTCAATGGCAGTTCTTTTAAAAATACATTGATAGCTGTAAGATTAATTATTTTATGATGTCTCCGTACGTGGAAGCACAAGGCGGGTCCACCAAGAAGAGATGGTAGCCGATTGGTGCAGTGGATTTCGGTACTAATGGAAATCACTTTCTATACAAATCCCCTGACCGCTTCCTTGCACAAAACACGTACTTGATCAACTCAAGAATGCCACGTGGCTACGGGCCCACTGGTCATAGGATAGAGGGCCCTATCATCGATATATATGTCACATCGTACGGCTATAAAAATTTCGAGTTGCTCCAGCCCGAACATCCGAGCACCGCTAAGAACTTCTTCCGGATAGCTAGCAGTTCTGGTTAGCGCGGCGCTTTCTGCGGCTCCGGGGCCGCGTAGAAGACGTTACAGGTGTCACGCATCAAGAGGCGTCGGTTGAGCGTCCTCGGTGAGACAAATTGTTTAGAGATTTGTCTCCTTCGAGCGCTTGGAAGGTGCTTGAATCTTGCACATTCGGAGTTGTTTCACGTGTGGCGAGGTCTGGATTCAGTTGACTTCCTGCACCGTCAAGGAACCTTTCGACTCTGGAGAAGACCTCTTCTTTGGGTTATCTGGGATCATCTTACTGATCTGAAATCCACTGTTATCGGACGCTTCCGGCCATTTGTAGGTTTGTCATTTTGGACCCGAACTTTCTTGGATCCAATCATCCAAGCATTGAACTTTTTTTTTGATATAGCCGATATATCGGGCCTTGCTGGGCATCTTGTCGGTATTGTACTCCGAAAAGAGGCATTGCGAATGGCGTTCTTCTTACGTGTTATATGGCGGTTGTTTCGTTCAATTTTAAAATTTTCACTGTGCCGGTTATTGATTGCCGCTGCTCATTATTGAAAATTGCTACTATTTGAGTTAAGGGAGTTTTAGGTGTTGTGTAGCGATTTCGATATTACTTGTGGTTCCCTAATCGTTCTGCTTGATTGCTTTTTCCAATTAAAAATTATTTCGCCTCTTTTTTTTTTTTTCGTTTTCGATTGATTTCTAATGTTCGGGAATGTAGTCAATCAAGGTGTGATATTCTATCGTGTTGATTCTGAATTAAGGTTGGAAGCATGATTTTGGTGGAATGATACCTTGAGTCAAGGTTGGCGCAAACTTTTGAAAACTGATAGGATAACACAAATTCCGATAGAGGAAAAGTCTGCTGTTAATGCCGTGGATTTGCATTTTAAAGAACCAAAGAATTAAATATTGGTATCAGAGATTATAGAAGAAACATAGAATATGAAAGCAAGTGAAAAGTTTGGCTTTAAGTGAAGATGAAAATTGTTGATTTGTATGTCACCTATTTTTTCATATAATGAATAGAACTCTTCAAAGAATAGCAAGCAATTAGTGCGCAACTCTATTTGGCATGACATTGGAGGCAACACTCAAAATTGTCTCTGTTTCATGTCTTGTCGTATGTTGGCAAATGATTCGTAAGGATCCCTTGGAGGATTCTGTGAAGATCCATGAGATACCATCCTTCTTTGACTCTCAAGTTAGTTAAGATCGTTGTGAAGATTTGAAAGTATTCTTCTGTTTTGCTTCGTTGCTCGCGCCCCATTTAACCTCCTGCAATTCACTGATTTCATCATTCGTCTGTTAATCACACTACTTCTTAGGTTGCTTGTGATTCTCCTCCTGCTATTTGTCTCTCCCTCGTCACAAAATGCCTCTAACAAACTTGATTCATGTATACATATGTGTTTGTGCGTTGATATGCTCTTGCTTGCTCATGCTCATTAATACTCGGTTCAAAAGCGCAATTCGCATGACATCTTTATTCTTGGTTCGTCCTCAACTTGCTTGACTAAATTGATCCTGATTCATTTTGTTGCTTGTTCATCGTGTTTTCAAGATTTGCTAACTCGAGCATTATTTCGACTATGTAAACATGTTAGCAAGTAATTTGGATGTTTTTGGTGTATTACTGATGTAAAACCACATGCAAAAGGAGCTTGATAAGAAATTTAAAAATAATTGACAATGAAATCTCAATTAATAACTTATTGAAATAATAAGCAAATTCATTAAAGAATCTTAGTTTTCTACTTGCTTAGGCGAAGGAGCACATGTAGAGTAACCAAATCTAGTAGATAAACAAAAATAGTAGCAATGAGAAGAACTATTAGCTAACAATCCACAATTTAATAATGAGAGTTTCACCTCGGGGATTGATCACTTAACTACACTAGGCTTTGGCGAGAGAAGATTATCCACATTAGAGTCGAGGTCACTCCGAGGAAGAAGGCACCTAGGATCGTCGTCCTTGGATAGGTGGCCGGAGTGGTGGAGGATGATTGTGGGAGAGGGGCTAGGGTTTGGAGAGATTAGGTTTAGTGGAGTGTATGGGAGATTAATCAAAATCTGAGAATTAATTTCAGATTTGATTAGGTTTGGGAGGGAATTGACTTGAATTTGAATTTCAAATCAAAGGCATTAATGCCTTGAATGGGGGAGTTAATGAGGGGAGCAAAGAGGGGGAGGCCGACGGTTTTGAAGAGAGAGGGGGAGGAGTTTTAATTCAAAATTTGAAATTAATTTCAGGATTTGAAAATTTGGGAGGGAGATTTATTTGAAATTATTGTTTTAATTTCAAATGAAGGAGGGGTTTAATGTGGCAATTAGTGAGGGGAAGCCTCATAGGAGGCTGGCGGCATGTAGAGGGGAAGGAGGAGGGATTAAAGGGGGAACCAAGCTCTTTCCAAAAAGGAACGAAAAGTTGGAGGGGAATTAATAACTCCTCCAATTAGGTTTCATTTGAAATTTGAATTTGAAAACTTTCCTCTTTTAGATTTCGCAAATAAGGAAAGTTTTTGAATTTCAAAATTCGGTAACTCCTCAATTTAATGCGAGACATCGATCAAGGAGCCATCATGATGATTGATTTCATCATTATGGTTTGAGGCAAGCATGTGGCCGGCGGCCAAAGGAGGAGGGGCTTTTGCCGTCGGGTTGGGAATCTTAAAGGAGCTTGGAGTTGAAGTGGAGAAAGTTAGTGGATGAAATGATGTGTGGGATACGAGAACGGGTGTGTAGTCGGCGGCTATGGGAAGAGCTAGGGCCGGCGGGTTGGGGAAAGAAAGAAGAGCGGGATGAAGGGGATAAACCACGAGCCACGGACTCTTCTAATGGCTGGTGGGTATTGCTTTTGCCCTCACCTTTGGCTTTCTCTCTCACTTCTCTCTTGCTCTCATGCAAGAAGAGTAAGAAGAAATAAACTAAAATTCTCATTCAATTGTTCATCATCCTCATTACATAAGAAATGATCATATATATAGGCCTCAAAATGAGAAAGGAAACAAAAGACTAAAATGCTCCTTGGGCTACAATAGCGGCCAAATACCCATAAGTGTAAAAACGGAAAAACTGAAAAATAAAATAAACTACTACATAAAATGACTTAAAATAAAACTCCTGATCGTGGCCGTCGATCTCCGGTGTCTCTGATGGTACATGTGTCGAAATTGCTGACGATGTCCTCATCATTCTCCCCAGGTGGGAGAAAACTCGACCCCGTCGAGTAATCATATGTAGAACTCTCGTACCACTCTTGTAAGCCGGGGTCCACTCACTGCAGCTCCTCCCGATCAATCCACATGTCCTCCGTCTCCGATTTCCCTTTCCAATGAACTATGTACCTGCGGTGACCTTCTTCCTTTGTGAAAATGATCTCATCATCTATTAATGCTTCAATCTTCTCCGCTATGAGTAAGTGGGGTAAATTGGGGAGTGGAGTAAGGCTGGGGGGATCTCACTTGGTAGGTTTTCACAAGGCTTATTTTGAATTGGATTATTAGGGTTCAACTCGGGTCCCTCAAAGGTTACTAGATCTTCTATATTAAATGTAGGATTGAAGTTAACCCTTAGGGGGGTCCAGCATATAAGCATTACTATTTATCTTTGACATTATCTTCAAGGTCCGACGCTTATATCATGCAACTTTTTCACGGAGGGATCCGTACCATCACAAAGTTTCCAACCTCGAATTCTTTAAATCTTTTCTTGTGATCTGAAATAAGCTTATAATTGGAGTTACTTTGTTCAATTCTTCTTTTAGTTTCTTTATAAAGCTCCTGGAGATGAGATGTAAATGCATATGCAAAAGAACTGGTATGCATGACGAATGACAGGAATTAAGGCTTACCCAAAAGTTTTAAGCAGAAATAACTTTGGCGGACAATATACTACAAAACACACACACAACATACTAACTCACACAAACACATAGCTAGAAAAGGTGGACGAGTCACGAGAAGAGGGGTTTTAAAGTGTTTGGTCTAAGGGAACTGGTGTAGGGGGAGAAATGAAGACATTCTTAGCTACCAGGACACTTCTGTAGGTAGTTTCAGTTAGGGTCGACAGTGGTCTCCTAGTGTTAGTAGTGTAATCGAACAAATTCATCCAACTAGGATAGACG